CAGCCGGGAGTGGGGCGGGCGCTAGCTCGCTCCTTTCTCTCCCCGCCTCTGCTGCGGCGCGCTAAGGCTCCGGAACCGACATGGGCGCCGCCGCGTGGGCACTGCCGCCCTTGCTGCTGCGTTTGTCTCTTCTGCTGCTTCTGCAGCTCCCGGGGCTGTCCGCGGGCTCCTGGGACCCTGCTGGTTACCTGCTCTACTGCCCCTGCATGGGTAAGGCCTCCCGAGCCCTCTGCTCGATTGGAGAAACGGAGGCCAGGAGAGGAGAAGCCTTGCTCTGACGCGCCCCAGAGACAACTTGACAAATCCAGAGGAGATCCCCAGAGTGAGGCCGAACCTACTTTTCTCCTCTCTGCCATAGTCGCAGGTGCACAGAGGAGCCATGGTGTCCAACCTTCCGTTTATGGTTGAGAAAACAGGCTGGGAGAGGTTATGCGACTTGCTGGAGGTCTAAACTAGCCTGGAGCCCAGTAAATGGAAATAGCCAGAACTTGGTGTCACTGACCCACGCTGGCTCCAGGTGATTTGTTCATTCATTCAACAACTATTTATGGGGTCCCTTTTTTGTCACACCCTGTTCCCTGTGCTGGGAATGTGGTGTTGGTGAGACAGATAAACCCATTCCCTTAGAGAGCCATCCTTTTAGGTGGGAAAGGCAGACAATAAAAGATACATATCCAAATAAAGTGCATAATTTTAAAGAAAATGAAAACTGTGGGAAGAGATCGGGCAAGACAATCTAAAGGCCAGTGGAGGGGTGCCATTTAAATGGAGTGGCAGATTCATTGTAAAAGCTATTCCTGAAACTCCTGGCCATGACCTTCAAGGCCCTGAATGATTTGGTTCCCTGCTGGTCATCCGTACAACTCCTTTCTCCCTGGCCCTCCAGCTGCAGCCACATTTACCTCCTTTCTGTTCTGCATGCACTCAGATCCATGTCGTAGTCCTTCCTGAAACACCTCCCCTTCACCTCTGCTGCTTTTTAGGTCTCAATATAAAGGTCCCCAGGGACGACTCCGCTGACTTCTACACAAGTACTCTCTTTACTGTTCCCCATCACCATTTTTTTCCCTGATTGTTATCACAATTTACCAGTATATATTTGTTATACATAGTTTTTCTCCAACTGAACTGTGAGTGCCAAGACCTTCGAGACCTTGCCTTTGCCTACTCTCATATCCTAGCACCTAGCATAGATTCTGGAACAGTTTGGTCTCTCATTATTTGGGGAATGTATGAATGGATGTCATACTGGAGATAATAAAAATCAGATAGGATCCTTGCACCTGAGGCATTCATAAGCTGTGAAAATAGCCATCATGAAAAGCCAGGAAGTGAGAAAAGACTTGAAAAATGAACATGCAGAGTGGGAGGCAGAAGAGGGAGAATGAGTATGGTTGGGGGCTGATGAAAGGCATTTAGTGAATGAGGCATTGGAGTGGCGCCTTCATGTACGGGTGATTGGAGACAGAGGTGGAAGGGCACTCAGCTCAAGCAACACCATGAACAAAGCTAGCAGATGGAGTGGAAATTGTAGGATGTGTGGAAGATAGGAAACTGGAGTGGCTGAGACAGTAGGAGCGACCCTTGAATGTCAGGTCCAGTCCAGACTTGCTTTCATGCTGCCAGCTTCCCTAGCTCTCCTTGGTGTCCTGGCTCTCCCCGCACCTGGATCCACATTTCTGAGCCCTTTAGGTTCCATCCCCATGATGCTCCAGGCCTCACCTAATCCCCATTGTACCATTTTCAGGACGCTTTGGGAACCAGGCCGATCATTTCTTGGGTTCTCTGGCATTTGCAAAGCTACTGAATCGCACCTTGGCTATACCTCCGTGGATTGAATACCAGCATCATAAACCTCCCTTCACCAACGTGAGTATTTCCCACTGACCTTGGGCCTTGTCCACCCTTCCAAAATCTTGCTGACTTCTGCTTGACCTCCAGGTCTTTCTCTGGGCCTTACCTCCCACTCCTCTGAGCTTGCCCTGCTCCCTACCCAGATCTGTCTTCCTTGGAAGAACAATGGCTAGCATTTATTCCAGCACCTGCTATGTGCTGGCTCTGTTCTGAGCACTGCATAAGGATTAGCTCATTTCTTCCGCATCTCATCCCTATGAGGAAACTGGGGTTTAGAGAAGTTAGGTAACTTGCCCAGGGTCACACAGCTTATGGGTAGTAGAGCTAGCATTCAAGCCCATGACTGTCTGACACATAGCCTGTGACTGGACCCTAAAGCCTCTATTTCCAGTGCTGATTAATCCCACCTTCTGTGCATTCATCAGTCAATAGTTGATGGATGCTATTATCAGTTTTAAAGGAGAAACTAAAGCACAGGTTGTTAATAAAATGTACAAGATGACAAATTCAAACAGTATTGCTCTAGCACTGCCACTCCTCCCTTCAAGGGGCTCCTTTAGCATGGTATGCTCGGCATCCTCTAATTCCTAGCTTTGTTTTTTTTTTTGTACTTGGGATAGAACTCAGGACCTTGCGCTTCCGAGGCAGGCTTGGTGCCAGTGAGCTAAGTCCCTCCAGCTTATTCTTTATGTCTTCCAATAGCACTGTGTCTGGTTTTGTTCACACTGTATCCCTAGTATGAACTGACTTGAACATTTTTGAATATATATAAATTATATTTAATATGTACAAAACAGTGCATTTCATTCCTGTAGCCTTTTATTTCTCCTTTGGATATCTGTATTTGGAGAAGCTATTATCTATTGTTTTGCAGTTCTAGGGATTAAATCCAGGGCCTCATGCGTACTGGGCAAGAGTGCTATCATTGAGCTACCTAGCCCTAGACAGGTTATTAACAGAAATTAACAGCCAGAATATTGGAGACCACAGCCTAGTTTGGCCACCTACTAATTGTATAGCTTGGGCAAGGTACTTGACCTTTTTGTTCCTCAAGTTTCTTCATCTCTAAAATAGCCTGATAATAATTGTTGCTACTTCCCATGGTGAAGATTGAAGTAATGATGGTACTCGTGCTTTAAGTGTTAGTGTATGCCTCCCACTTAGAATCAGCTGAACTCCTCAATGTAAAGAGCTAGGACACAGGAAGTCCTCTGTTCCTGGGATCCATCAATGCTCTGTTTTGTTTTGTTTTGTTTTCACTCACTGTTAATAGTTTAGACATTGCCCATCCATCTCTCTCTGCTTTACTTGCTTTCTGTCTCCTTGCTGTCTCAGCCAATTGTCATACTGAGTCTGCACTTCTTGCTTTCTATGGGTTACTCAACCTGCCCCAGTTGTGCTTCCCTTCCCTACTGTAACTGTTCTCATTGCCAAATCCAGGGTTCATTTCACAGTCTTCATCTCACCTGACCTCCCAATTGCACCTGGCCCTGGAGCCTTGTTCCTTCCTGAACATTTCTTTTCCAGGCTTCCAGGACACATCCATTTCTGCTGCAGCCTTCGTTTTCCTCTTCGTGCTGTACTGAGAGCTCCTTTCTCTCCACTTATTAAATGTTAGTTTGTGTCCTCTTTCTGTTCACTTGTTAGCTCTGTGGCCTCAGATGAGTCATCTAGATTCTCTGTGCCTGGGTTTCTTCCTAAGCAATCTCTCTAAGGAGATGGTTGTATTCCTGCCTCTTAGAACTAGGTGAGCAAACGCTTGTAAAGTGATGAGTACAGCACCTGGCACTAAGTCAGCACTCAATAAATAGTAGCTGCTATTACTATTACTTGCTTTGCTATAAATTTCTGTTGGCTCTTGTGGCTTTCACTATGCTTCATATCTCAAATTTATCTGTGACCCAGGCTCCTCTCAGAGCACTGGGCTGTGTTTCTGATTCCTAAACCTTTTGATCTGCTTGGATAGCCCATAGGTATCTCAACTCACAAAGCCAGAATTGAATTTGGTGTCTTTCCTCTCAGAATTGTGCCACTGTCTGTAATCCCAACCTTAGTTTATATCATCTCCATTCACATGAGTACCAAGCCAGGAACGTACATAGTTACCCTAAAGGTCCCTTCCATACACTGTCAACCCCTAACCCTTCTGTTTCACCTTTCTTCTACCTTCCTGAGCCACTGTATCTCTCTCTCACTTAGATGTGTAGAAAATGCCCAACAAATACATGTTAAATGCACACATGGGTAAATAAAAGTAGCCTAATTCCTCTTCCTTCTTTAATTGTACCATTAGTACCATCTACTCTGCTATCAGAGTGATCTTCCAAAAAAGACAAAACTTGCCTGTTGTGGCAGTGCACATGTATAATCTCAACCTGGGAGGTTAAGGCAGGACAATTAAAAGTTCAAGCCTGAATTCAATCCCCGGTACCAAAAAACAAAACAAAACACAATAACAACAACAACAACAAAAAACAAAAAACAAAACAAACAAAAAAAAAGTTCAAGCGTAACCTGGGTTACTTATTGCCTTAGGAAGACACTGTCTCAAAATAAAAAAGGGCTTGGAGGGACTGGGGATTTAGCTCAGTGGTTCTGCTGCTTGCCTTGCAAGTACAATGTCCAGAGTTCGATCCCCGGTACCTGCCCCACCAAAAAAGGGCTTGGAATAAAGCTCAGTGCAGAGGCCCTAGGTTAAAGCTCAGTGCAGAGGCCCTAGGTTCAATCCCCAGTACTAGGAAAGAAAGAAAAAAAAGAGGGGGAAGGAGGGAAAGAGGGAGGAAGGAAAGGTGGGAGAGAAAAGCAAATTATATTATTTCTGCTTAAATCCTTTAGCTGTAATATCCCAGTGCTACTAGTTAAGGGGCCCAAAGTCTGCTAGTTAGAACCTGCTTTGGAAGGGTGCTGTAGGAATATTATATTATATTATAGGAAAGTAATATTATCAATTCTGCGTCCTCTCAAATTTTCAGATTTGCAATGCACGTTAGCATGTTAAAGGCCCTGAAAAAATTCTGCTGCAGTAAAGAAAACAGCATTTCCTAGACTTCTCCAGCTGGAGCCCTTTTTTTTTTTGTAGAACCTTTTATCCACCTGAACTGGTGGGACATACTTAGGAAACCCTGAACTATATGATGAAATCCAAATTTTATTCCATGGTGTTCCAAGAATATTTTTTCCCCAAGAATATTTTTTCCCCAAGAATATTTTTTAAATCTAAAGAAATTCAAAGATGAATACAACCACCATCTATGTACCTACTAGGAGTGATCATTGTTAGTGATTTTTGCCTCATCCTTTCTTTTTGTTAATAATAATTTTTTAAAAACCCAGCATGACAGTTACGCTTGATAAACAGTAGCTTCTCTGGGCTTCTGTGGCTAATCCTAGTCCCTCTTGCCACACCCAGACCAGTCCTTCTATAGATTTAATGTATTTATTGTGCCTCCCTCCACATTCTCTCCTATACTTCGTTTGTGGCAGGGAGCCTCCCTGTATTTGTCTCCTAGTGTAAAGTGCTTGAGCCTCTTTAGGGTAAATATCTAGCAGAGAAAGGAGCTCGCTCTTTCTTTCTCTCTCTTCTTTTCCTTTCTATTCTTTTCTTTCTCTCTTATTCTTTCATTCTTTCATTCTTTCCTTCTTTCTTTTGTGCTTTTTTGAGACAGGGTCTTGCTATGTAGTTGAGGCTGGCCCTGAACTCACTATAGCCCAGGCTGGCCTTAAATTCACAGCGATCCTCCTGTCACAGCCTTCCAAGTGCTGGGATTACAGGCGTGCGCCTCCACATTTCGCTACTTTAATTCTGTTGATACTGACAGATTGCATCCTGAAGTAGTTGCTGCAGGGTATACACTTCTACTGCCAGCCACATACAAGAGTGTCCGTTTTCCTACATCTTTCCAACAATTAGAGTTAGCTCTTAAATTTTTGTTGGTCTCATGGGCGAGAAGTGATGCTTTGTGACAGCTGTAATTTGTTTTTTCTAATTATTGATGAGGTTGCACATCTTTTGAGTACACTGGTTGTTTGGATTTCCCTGGCTGTGAGTTATTCACCCCTCTCCTTTGCCCATTATTTGTCTTTTCTTAGAGATCAGCAGTCATTTTTCCCCCCTCATTGAGTTTATTGGTACATTTTAGGTAGACAGTACAGTTACTTTCATCTTTGGGATCTTGTACCTTTACATGACAGGGCTTGGTTCTCATTTTTTCCCATTGTTCAGCAGTCATTCTTTAACACAAGAGATGCTACTGTTTGTTCTTTGGTTTACAAATATCTTGTCTCAGTTTGTCTGTCGTAACATCAGTATTGGGGTTTATTTTTTGTTTTGGTTTTTTGTAGTGCTAGGAATCGAGCTCAGGGCCTTACATGTACTAGGCAAGCACTCTACCACTGAGCTACATCCCAGCCCCCCTTTTTTTTTTTAATTTATTTATTTTTTCCAGTATAGGGGATCAAACTCAGGACCTTGCACTTATGAGGTAGGCTCAGCGCCACTGAGCTAAATCCACAGACTCCTTTTTATTTTATGTATTTATTTAATTTTGGGGTTTTTTTGAAACAGGGTCTCAGTATGTATTTGAGACTGACCTGGAACTCACTGTGTAGCCCAGGCTGGTCTCAAACTCACAGCGATCCTCCTGCTTCAGCCTTCCAAGTGCTGGATTTACAGGTGTGCGCCACCATGCATGGCATTCCTTTTTATTTTTTATTTCGAAGCAGTCTCACTAAGTTGTGCACACTGGCCTCAGACTCGTGGCCCTCATGCCTCAGCCTCCTGGGTAGCTAAAATTATAGGCATGTACTACCAAACATGGCTTACTTTGGTGTCTTTTAACCACAGTTTTTCACTGTCATGTAGTTTGAGCTATGTGGGTCTTGGAGTGTATGGTTTTAACAAAAATCTAAAGTATCTTTAGTATCTAAAAGTGAATCAATGAGGAGGGACCTCTGCCCCTCCTTTTCCTATAGCTACATGTGTCCTACAAGAAGTACTTCAAGCTGGAGCCCCTCCAGGCCTACCATCGTGTCATCAGCCTGGAGGACTTCATGGAGAAACTGGCACCTACCCACTGGCCTCCTGAGAAGCGGGTGGCATATTGCTTTGAAGTAGCAGCTCAGCGAAGCCCTGATAAGAAGACGTGCCCCATGAAGGTAGGTTCTGTGGGTCTGGGAACCCCCTCTGCCTGTCCTCTAGGCCCCTGAGACTATAAGCTAGCCATATGTGGGAGAAGGCACCAGAAAGTTTTGGAGTAGAAAGATGGAAACTCGAGTCTACTTCTGACATTTTTCAGCAGTGTCACCCTGGGCAGACTTTGCTTCTCTAAGCCTTTATTTCTACACAATATTGAGGTGCTAGTTCTTGCTCCATCTTGCTCATAAACCGTCATGAGAGCCAAGTATAAGTGTGCTTGTAAACTGTAAAATGCCACATCAGTAACATACTCCATAGTGCTACTGTATGGCAGGTGCCTGCTAAGAGTATTATGTATACTAACTCATTGTATGTCATAGACACCAAGGTTACACAGCAAATAGTAGACCCGGGATTCAACACGAGGTAATTTGGGTCCCTTTTCTACCCTCTTACCTCCAATACTTTTCTGCCTCTCAGTAGGTAGATGAGAAGCTGTCATATTTGATGAGAATTTGGTGAATTTTTGGCACTTTGGGAATATGACAATCCCCACATATGGCTACAGTTTGGGGAATGTGGTTAGAATAGTCATGATATTTGGGAAAAGAGACACAGCTTGCAGCCCCAACACTGCCGTGTGATTTTGTGCATGTGTCTTACCCTCTGTGATCTTTGGTTTCCATCTTGAAAATGAGGGTGCTGGATTGTTGAATCTTTGGTCCATGTTTCCAATCCCAAGGTCCATTCCTCCTAGGCCCCACCAGTGCTGCAGGGGAGGTGGGACATGGCAAGTGAGCAGGAAAGACTCTTCAAATACAGATGAATACCTCCTGCTGGAATCTAGAGTGGAAGCTTGCCTCTGTTCTCAGTCCCCTGTCCAGGGGCCAACCTAAGAGGGTGTGGGTGTTTCAGCCAGAGTCCAAGCACCCAGTTCCCCTCCACCGACTATTCCTTGCCTCCCTCCCCAAATGGCTTTCCCTCTCCCTCAATAAGCTTTCTACAACCCTCTTTCTGCAGGAAGGAAACCCCTTTGGCCCATTCTGGGATCAGTTTCATGTGAGTTTCAACAAGTCGGAGCTTTTTGCAGGCCTTTCCTTCAGCGCCTCCTATAGAGAACAGTGGATCCAGAGGTACTTGGAAAGGATAGTGGTGCTGGGTTCAGGGAGGGACACGGAACTTGTTGGCATCCAGCACTTTCCTGACCCTTTCTCCACCCTGATGTATGAGACCAAAGGTATGGTTGCTCTGTCTGTTGAACTTGGGATCCTGTGTGATCTGTTCCCTTCTCAATGCCTGACACAGTGGGACATTGACCTGCCACAGAGTTGAGCAAGAGCTTGTTGGCTGATAAGGGTTGCCATAAAAGAACATTGTGCAGTCATATGTGTCTCGATTTCCTGCTCTAGGCGTGAGAATCACTCCCCTGTTGCCTTCCTCTTCACAACATAAAAATTGGAAGCAGCTCCTGGAGCACAGCTTTAGGTGCAGACAGAGAAGTGATATCATCCTAATAATTACTGGGTGTGCTGTACTAATGGTGTGCCAGTAAGCCCTATTACAGAAATAGGTTAGCAGGGCACAGGCACAGGCTGTGAAGTATTAACAGAGTATATGTCATGTGTGTGACACAGTATGCACAGGCCAAAGGTGATACATAAAAATGAGGAAGACCCAATGCCTCTTCAAGAGCTATGATGATAACTCACATGGTACCCTTGCCATTGATGCAGAACATGGCAGGCAGGGAAGACCTTAGACTTCTGGGCTCAGATTCAGACTGGGTTAGGAGGGGAGAGGAATGTGAACTGAGGTGTAAAGTTACAGCACTTGGCTTTCAGTAGAAAAATAGGCACAGGCTCAGGAGTAAGATAGTCCTGGGCTCAGTGAGGCACAGTGGTGCACACCTGTAATTTCAGCACATGTGAGAGGCTGAGGCAGGAGGATCACCTCAATTTTGAGGCCAGCATAGGCTATATAATAAGTTCAGGGCCAGCTTGAACTACATAGAGAGATGTCTAAAAAAAAAAAAAGACAAGCCTAACCTATGACCCACTTCTGCCTCTTTCTCAGGAGACTGAATAAGCCACTACAACTGTTTGGCCCCGATTTTGATTTGATGGAAAGAGCACTTAATGAGATCTGTTTCCTAGCATTTCCTAGTGCATAATGTTCATGGTCCATAGTAAGAGGCCACCCAAAGTTAGCTGTCATTGTTATTCATGCACCTATTGCTATCGATTTCCTTTCTTTTCTTTTCTTTTTTAGGTTCTGAGAATTGAACCCAAGGCCTTAAGCAGGCCTTGTGGTAGGCAAGTACATTAGCACTGAGCTACACCTCAACTTTCAATTTCCATTTTGCAAATGAGGAAACTGAGGTTAATGCAGTTGAATAACTTGCCCAAGGTCAGAGAGCTGTTGCACGGGCAACTGGGACTTACATCTAAATCTTTTAAAAATAATGAGCTTTTATTTAGTGCCTGCTTTGTGCCAGCTACTATTCTAACTCTTCACAGGTATTGACTTATGTTTGTTTTTTGTGATGACTCAATGTGTTGTCCAGGCTGGCCCTGGACTCATGATCCTCCTACCTCAGCCTCCCAAGTAGTGGAAATTAGAGGCATATGCCACCACCCACCTGGGTTTAATCTTTCCATGACTCTGTAGAATAGGTGATAACATCTGTGCTTTACACATAAACAAAATGGAAGTGAGGCTGGGCTTGGTGGTACACACCTGTGATCCCAGCACTCAGAAGGCTGAGGCAGGAGGATCACTGCAAGTTTGAGGCCAGCCTGGGCTACATGGTGAGTGCAAGGACTTGTCTCAAAATAAAACAAAGCAAAATGAAAGCAGTTTCTGGATGCAGTGGCATACACTTGTAATCCCAACTACTTGGGAGGCTGAGGCAGGAGAATTACAACTTCAAGCCCAGACTCAGGAATTCAGTGCAACCCTGTATCAAAATACAAAAAAAAAAAAAATTAAGGGCAGGGGTAAAGCTTTTGTCTACCATGCATGAGGAAAGACTAAGAGAAAAAGGGGGGAAGGGGAGAGAAAAGGAAAATAGAGGGAAGGGGTGGGGAGGGACAGTCATTTGTCTAGGGTCACAAAGCTTAAAGTAATAGCTGGATTTTAAATCCATGCAGCCTGATTGCAAAGCACACATTCTTTTTTTCTTTTTGGTACCAGGATTTGAACCCACTGAGGGCATATCATTTGAGCTACACTCTCAGCCCTTTTTATTTTTTATTTTGAGACAGGGTCTCACTAAGTTGCCCATGGTGGTCTTGAACTTTTGATTCTCCTATCTCAGCATCCTGAGTAGCTGAAATTATAAATGTGTGCTACTATGCTCATCTACAAAATACCCATTCTTTTTTTTTTTTTTTTTATTATACCAGAGATCAAACTCAGGACCTTGCTCTTGTGAGGCAGGTGACAAAATACCCATTCTTAAAAAGAAAAAAAATATACCCATTCTTCAGCCAGCATGGTAATGCACACCTGTAATCCCAGCACTTGGGAGGCTGAGGCAGAAAGATCAATGCCAGTTTCAAGGCCAGCCTAGGCTACATAGTGAGTTTAAGGCCAGCCTGAACTACATAGCAAAACCCTGACCCCTTCCACACACCAAAGCAGTTTCTGTGCCATTGCCTTCCCTATCACTCAAACTACCACCCCCATCACGTGTGTGCTGCCTGCTTTGACTAGCTGTATTTGTAAACTGCCCCAGTCTTGTTCATCCTTGATGACCAGAGACAGAGACCCTAAAATCAGCCAGGGAGAGAGGGCTATAAAATCCAGAACCCTGGGACACAGGAAACAGAGCAGAGGGTGAACAAGCCAGAACCAGAATGTACAACACTCTACAGGACAAGAGAAAGCTTAGATACTCCCCAAAGCCTGCAGTGTTCTGAACAAATAGGGAAATAATGGGATCCAAATTCCACATTTAAGAGGCTCTCCTCTACTCCCACGGCCGGCAAGGTGTCGATGATCCCTGTACTCTGGGAGGCTGGGTCAGGGAGATGGGCAACCAAGCGACTCAGCAAGACCCTTGCCTCAAAATAATGATAATATTAATACTAATAATATAAATACAATTTTTTTTTGGTACTGGGGATTGAACTCAGGTCCTTGTGCTTGCAAGGCAGGTGGCGGAAACACTGAGCCAAATCCCTGTCCCATAAATAAAAATCTGAACAGGCCTGGGTATGTAGCTCAGTGTTTATTCAGTCAGCAAATTTGTATTTTGTTTGTTTTTGTTTTTGGTAACTTAAACTCAGGACCTTGTGCTTGCGAGGCAGCCAGCAGAACCACTGAGCTAAATCTCAGGCTGTATAGCTCAGTGTTTAAATCTGCCATACATGAGGAGGAGGATGGCTGAGAGTTCCAGGACAGCCTGTGCTACATAGTAAGTTCAAGGCCAACCTGAATGACAAAGTGAAACTGTCTCAAAACACCAAAAAAAAAAAAAAAAAAAAAAAAAAGCAAGACCCTGTCTCAATAAACAAAAACAAATTTTAATATGCCTGCTTTTTGGTACCGGGGATCAAACTCGGCCCAACACAAACAAATTTAAAAAAAACAACAAAACTCTAGGCCGGGGATTTAGCTCCGTGGTACTACTGCCTGCCTCACAAGGGCAAGGTCCTGAGTTTGATCACAAGTACCATAAATAAATAAATAAATAAGCTTTACTTTTTTTCTGGTGCTAGGATTGAACCCAAGGCATTTACACTGAGATAGCTCAATTTACATCCCTCACCCATATTTTATCTTGGGAGAGTCTCACTAAGTCACTAACAGCCTCCCAGGGCTGAAACCAGACTGAGGCCTAAAGGATGAGAGGGAGCCACTCCTGCAAAGGCTGGGTGACTTTATGGAATCTGCTGGGATTACAGGTGTGCACCACCGTGCCCATCTCTAAGCACCCATTGTTAATCACCATGAATTAAATATCTTTGTCCTTAACAGTTGTCCATCTGTTCTGGGACTTGTCTTTAGAGCTGCTGCTTAAACCACTTAGGCTACTCAGTCCTGGAAGGTTTAATCTTCATCACATTGATGCTGGATAGGACTCTTCCCCTTAGATCACCTGCTTGGTTTTCCCCAATTCACTTCCAAATGACCCAGAGCCATTGCCAGAAGATTGACTTGCCTGAAAGGGCTGGGAATTTGCCCCTGTCATCTGTGTGCCAGGACCAAAAAATGCCTACAGCTCTAAAAACATCTTCAGTGGCACACACTTGTGATCCTAGCACTCAGGAGGCTGAGGCAAGAGGATTGCCACAAGTTCAAAGCCAGCCTGGACTACATAGTGAATTCAAGCCCAGCCTGAGTGACACTGTCTCAAAAACAAAACAACAACAAAAAATCTTCAAAATTAATTTCAGAAAGCCAGATGTGGCAGTATACACCTGTAATCCCAGAAATGGGGAAGCTGAGACAGAATGATCATGAGCTTGAGGCCAGCCTAGACTACATAGTGAGACCCTGTCTCAGTCAAATCAGTTAAATCAATCAATCAGTGAAATCAGTTCAATCAATCCATCCATCCACGCATCCAGGAAAAGCACACAGTCCGAGTCAGAAGAGAAGGAACAATGAGGTAGATGCTTCAGCTGGGGAATGTTGTGCACACATTTGTTCATTTCCCCATGGTCTGTCTTGAGTTCACTGACTTGATAGAACCTCTCACATGAGAGCCTGAGGAAGCTTGAACCTTAGGAAAATTTCTGAGAAAAGAGTAGTGGGGGAGGTTGGCCCTGGATGCACTGTGAGGGGGTTAGGACCCCCAGGCATCTGCCTTAAGAAGCTCTTCCCTAGTGTCAAGCACTGGTCCTCCCTGGATACTGAGGATACAGGCAAGAATAAGGCAGGTACGCCCCCAACAGTTCCAGAATCGTCACTGTCGGCTATGAAGCACATAAATAGGGGATGTGTGATGGGCAGAGCTGAGACCTGAAAGGTGAGATGGAGCCAGCTGTACCAAGAGCTGGAAGAGGTGGTTCGAAGTAGGGACATTACAAGCAAAGGTCCTGACATAGCAACAGCCTTGGCCTGATCAAGGCCCAGAAAGGCCAGTGAGGTTGATGTGGAATGAGGAGAAGTGTAAGATGTTGCTGTTGTCTGTTGCTACATAACAAATCATTCCAAAGCTTACTAGGGTAGCAGTGATTTCTCATGGTTATGTGGATTGACTGGGTTTAATTTGGCAAGTGTTATTGTTTTTGTATGGAATCTGAGCTGTTCAAACCTCAAATTCAGGCTAAACATCTAATTTCATAGGATGACTAGTCTTTACCTACCACAAATTTGGTGAGAAAATTTTTTAAATAAATGTTTAAATTTATTCGAAATTCCTCTATACCTCCAAAGAATACCGTTAGCCTTTGAGTGTGTATACGTGTAACCTTTGCACCCCCCACTCCCTTTTTTTCATCCTGAGGGTTGAACCCAGGGTATTTATACTGAGTTACATCCCAGCCCTTTTATATTTTGTGTTTTGAGACAAGGTCTCACTAAATTGGCAAGGTGTTGAGACTAAACTCAAACTTGGAATCCTGCATCAGCCTCCCAGACTGTTGGGATTAAGGTGTGCTGTCACACCCAGCTAGGCTTCTTATAGCATAAGAGCTGGATTCTGAGAGGGAGTATTCAGGCTGTATCCCAAGATACAGGGAGCAGAAACTGCTGGTCCTTAATGCCTGGGCCTGGAAACTAGCTCATTGTCACTGCTGTCAAATGCTATTGGGAAATGACATAGAGCCCACCTATGTATGGCAGAAGATTCAAAGGCTTGATGGCCATTTCTGTTGCTGTTTGATATGGGGTCTTGCTGTGTTACCTAGACTGGTCTCAGACTTCTGAGCTCAAGTGGTTCACCTGTCTCCTGAGTAGCTGGGATTACAGGCATGCAGTACTTGGCCAGTTCTTGAGAAGTACCTTCAGTGCCTTTGAAGGAGATCCCAGTTGGAAGGACTCAGTTCCTCCTCCTCATTACCTTAACGATTGACCCTCATGTATATCAGGGTTCCAAATAAGGTAAAAGAAATTTATAAGCTATATATATAGCTTATATATATAAGGTCTGGGTATATCAGGGTTGTTAGGATACATGTAACAGAACACCCAAAGTAACAGAAGATGAACAACATAACACTCATTTTTTTCTTCAGTATAAGAAGTGCTGGAGTATACGTCTAGGACAGGATGGCATCTTCCCAATATCAGCAGGAATCTGGCTTCTGTTTCCAGTCATTGCTCTTAATACTGACTTATCCTAAGTGTCACATATTGGGCCAGGATGACAGATGAAACTCCAGCCATCACATCCTAGGCAACTCAGTAGACAGAAGAAGCAGAAAAAGGGCATATCCTTACCATTTTTTTAAAAAAAGAAATAGGTCATGTTGTGTTGCTCAGTCTGGCCTCCTCCTAGGCTCAAGTGATCCTGACCCAAGTAGCTGGGCCTACAGGCATGTGCCACTGCATCTACTTTTTAAAGAAGTCTTGCCAAAAAAACCAAGGTAACCCAGTCTACTTACATCTCATTGGCTAGTGCTAAGGCACATGGGCCAGACCTAGCTGCCATATATACCGAGAAATATCTGTCCTTTGGGCTGCTGTGTATCTGTGTGACAATTGGGATCTAGAAGGAGGTAAAAGATCTTTTTCCCCAAAAATGATTTCTGAGAATCCTTCCTGCTTTGCTGGTTCTGCATCTGTACATACCATTGTAGAGCTTTAATTCAATAGACATTTATTGCACGTTTACTTTGGAAAACTGTGGCCCATCATGTTGAACGCTTCAGGTGGATAAAGTTAGCAGGTATTTGAGTTCATGGCATTTCTTTGTCCCAGGCTGCAGCCTCCCTGATTGCACATAAACAGGAGATAAGTAATTGGCAGGGCTCAAACCAAACTGAGGCCTAAAGGATGAGAGGGAGCCACCCCTGCAGAGAGCTGGAGGGAGAGCAAGGCCTTTGTAGCAGGGATATTGAGAGCATATCCAGAATTTTCTGACATCCCTCTTTGTGCCTAACACTGTTGTAAACATTTTACTTGAGTTAATCCATTTAATCATCTCAGTGATCTTATGAATGGAAGTATTAATTGGCCTTACTATGCTAATCAGTTATGTACATGTTATACACATTAAATATATACTTAAAAAACAGCCTGAGAGCTGGGCATGGTAGTGCACACACCTTTAATCTCCACACTGTAGGAAGCTAAGGCAGGAGTATCACAAGTTCAAGCCCATCTTGGGCAACTTATGAGACCTTTTCTCAAAATTTTAAAAAATTAAAGATGTCTGGGGAGGTAATTCAGTGCAAAGGCCCTGGGTTCAATTCCCAGTACCACCACCACCAAAAAAAAAAAGCCTTATGAGGTAGGAAGTATTAGAACTCTACTAAACAGTTAAGAAAACTAAGGCATAGATAGGTGAATCTAAGGCATAGGTAGATGATAGGCATAGATAAAATAGATAGGTAGATAACTAGGTAAGTGTAATTTGGAAAAAAATCTTTTGGGATGGGGAAGAAGAAAGGGAACGTGATACTAGTATATTTAGGTATATACTTTTTTTTTTTTTGGCACTGGGGATTGAACTTGGGTCCTTGTGCT